CACCCCACCCCCACCCACCCACACACACACACACACACACACACATAGGCCTGCTTGGACTTGTATGGGTTCGGTGCAGACCATCCCTCGTGCCTAAACCCAAAGCCCGGCCAAGGTGATCCAAGGTAAGCTTTTCTCTGTTTCGTTACCGGAAGTTGGCTGTGTTTATTGGTTGGAGAATCCTTTAAGACGGAGAAGCAGCAAGCCCCAAGTGCCAGATCCTCAAGCCCAACTCTCGTTTGAGCCTCTTCAGGCACCCAAACCCCCCAAATGGCGTTGACCCGGCAAGGGCTGGACGTCGATGTGGAAACCTGGCTCGCAATGTTGGAGCAAAAGTATATAAAGCCTGGCGCCCAGAGGGAAGAGCCAGGGCTCGGTAACAATGGTGAACATAAGGAGGAAGAAGTAGGAGTATGAGTTGTTTTCGTCGTCGCCGTCGCCGTCACAGCCTTCGTTTTCGTCGAACAGCAGCTGCAGCAGCAGCAGCAACAGCGGTAGGATCAACTGCGGTTACAAGGCCAGCTTTTGACAGAGTAGTAAACTTGTCGCGGCCATGGCGGAAATCAAAAAAAGAAATCGGCATGGGTCGTAAGATAAAACCATGTCATGAAGAAGCGCCAGGGGCCAGAAGTATTAGTCGTACTGGTCAGAACAAGGCTGGAAGGGACAATAATGTGGCCCGTGTACATCAAAAAGCACCCGAAGTGTATCCCGGACCAAGCAGCTCATACCCAGGGCAAAGACCCTGAAGCCGGGCGAGCTCACCAAGTATCAGGCCACTGCAGCTTTTGAATGGGAAGTTGGGTTTAGGGTTTAGGTTCGAGCCTTGCGCGAAGAACACATGCTTGAGGACACGAGACACTCTTGAAGACCACTTGAAGAACAAATCGATTGCCTGGCCATCGAGTCGTTTGCAATCTGGACTTCAATTATCCCGGAATCCTACACTTGGAATGGTCTGCACTCGTGCCGGACTATCCAGACTAGCCTCCTGCCTCGCACCCCAAGAAGCCCTGCAACGAAGGAGCCGATCATCGACAACTATCGGACAGTGCGAAACATCAGAGAGCAGATGGCCGGAAGCTATGGGGAAGCCCTCGCTAGCGGTTTGGGCATGCTGGGTCTTTCGGGCCGAGGATTGATGGCTCCAGGCCCTCGGGCTTCAGAGACTGGTCTCCTGGTCCAGTCCTCCACGCGTCATGATCGGTGGTCTTGAAATTTGAAGGCTCTGAAAGCTGAACTTGTCTGCAAGCCCTTTCTTTGCCCGAGCCCACACATCGTCCTCACACACGGAACTTTCCGCGCAATGCTCAAGAAGCCTGTGGGCAACCGACGCAAAGCCGAGAAGCAAGGTGGAGAACAAAGCACCCTTCCAGCTGAAAGCCAACTTCTTCAGCACGTGCGGCACCCAAGGGGACGGCAGGGTAGTTCTGAACTGTCCAGAACTTGCCCATCCAGAAACAGGTCCAAGCCTCTTGTAGACCTGTAGCCTTATAGATATGCTTCGCCAGGCATGTAAAACGACCCAGTGGCAGTAGCTGCTATGCCTGGTTCGAAGGCTGCACATCACAGATTCGAGAGTGAAGAAGATCCTGAACGACTGGTTCAAGGACAGTGGCTCTCTTGATGGCCGGACCTTTGCTCACAGAGATGTTTCATGGGACCGAGTGGCTCCTTTCGGTTGGTTGCACACATAAGCAGATGAACAGTGATGACAGTGCCCCACAGATCGCCCCAGCCATATCAGTCACTCACGACCAAGATAGCCCTCTTGCGGATTCCTACCGATCTCAGCCTGAGCCGTCAACTCCCTTCGAGACTGGAGGCTGCAGGGATTCCGAAGAGGCCCCAAACTCGGGCAAATTGGAGGACCAGCTGACCGAGACCATCCAGGGCCGAGGGCTCCAGCAGGACAGCGAGCTTGCAAAGCTCGAGGGCCTGAGTCGGTGCTGATTCAGACGCCGCGGGTTCGGATGGTTCTGTTGCGACGTTTCGGTTGGCTGGAGTTTGGCAAGTCTGGGGATCCTTTGTGGGAGGCTCGAGCTGCTTGTGCAAAGTCGAAGCTGCCAGGAGCACAAGCACAGTGGAATCCTGACCGTCCGCATTGAAAGGGTGCGCCGCCCTTTTCGGGTTCTGCCCCCTTTTTTGAGCCCATGCTGCTGTGAAGAGCATGCCCAGCAGTGGTCAGCTTTTTCTGTCTTCAGAGCCCCTCCCCCGAGTAGCCATTATATTATATTATATATTATTATATTATATCATATTACATCATAATACATTATCAGCACTACTTTGCTCGGAGCCGTGCCTGGTCCCAGCGACAGGCCGAGCGCCTAAGGCGCGCGGACGCAAAGAAGATGATGGACTGTCGCCCTGCAAGATTGCTGGGACTGCGTGGTGTTTTGGTGGGGTTGCAAACTTGGGTCTTGGGCCTCGATAAGGGTGTGAATGAGTGCAGAGGTGAGCTTAAGGTGTTGCAGTTTGGTAGAATTGAACTCGTGTTCGGTAGAAACCTGACCTTCGGGCACCCCGCCCCGCCTGCGTGAAGCCACTCACATCCAATGCCCGAAAGCTCCCGCAGCCCTGAGACTCGAGAAGCTCGCCAGGCGATCCGAAAGCTCTTCTCTGGGTGCGCAACGACGTTCAGGGATCCTGGCGTAAGGTGGGCTCCCCCAGATGTGTGTAGCACCTTCATTGCACGTTGTCAGGCAATCTTGGGGGTGGGGTGGTTTCAGGCTCGATGTGCAATGTTTCGCGGTTTCGAACAAACCTGGCCGAGACTGGGCGAAGTCTTTAGGCGCCCTCAGTCTGCAGACCTCAGGAACAGTGGCTCAGTGCCTGCAGCTCGAGTATCCCCCAAATCATAAGAGCACCGCAGATAGGGAGGCCTGAAAGCCAATAACCGGCTGCATCCTGGAAAGCAAGCTGCAACAAACACTCAATGTCTCAGTAGAGCCACAGAGCCTGCCATCCTCGTGCCAGAAGCCCTTGATGCAAACCGGCCGGATCTCCAACAACCGGAATCCTCGCTGGGGCTTCGAAGACAGCAAGACCATCTTCACTGGATCCTTCGAGGCCAGCATTGTGGGCGCCGGCCTTGGGGCGCCTAGGGTCTTTCGTTAAGAGTCGATTCCCCCCTAAAGCAAGGGCCCCTGGGGAGGGTTTGCATTGCAGGCGTCTTCGAAAGATTATTCGGGAACTTGCCAGGACATGTCGGATTGTGCACTTGGGGGGAAGGGAGCGATTCAGCTCTGGTTTGGATGGCATGGGATGTGTAAACACACCAGTTTGTGGCGTTGATCCTGCTACAGTTCTTTCGCGTTGCGTTGCAGGGCGCCCGCATACAGGCACATTTCTTGTTCAAGAGGCGCGGGGAAGTCTACAACCCCGCGCCTGAAGTGGAGGCCGTTGAAAATTGCCAATGTGATTATCCATGCTATTGCGGCTACTGATGCAATTGTTTCGACTTGTCTTCTTCTTCATCTCCATGGACTCCAACCTCCAGACGTTCCTAAAGCTCGAAGCGCTCGCATGCACTTGTATACCAAGAGCACGCATAAATCTCCTGTGGCATCCCATGGGGTCTTTGAAGCCATGGGAAGCTCCCACTCCGAAGCTGCTCGGCCCTCTGCGACCTTGACATCCAGTGATGTCTTTGGGGGGAGAACTCGAGGGTCGGTTGGGGGATTTTTTTCACCACAAGGTTAGAGTCGATGTCGCGACCGTAGCACTGCAGCAAGCCTTGGCCTGCCAAGGGTGATTTGCCTTTCTTATGTTCGACGGTTTTCCAGGTTCGGACACAGTCGGACCTTTCCAGGGCACACTAGCTTTTTGCTTTGCAGTTCGAGGGTAGGGCGCTTGCCCGCTTCCACTTGGACGTATTTTACGTATGCCAGTAGAGCTTGTGCCCTTCGACAGAGGGGTGGGGGGCGGTTGTTGTTCCCTGATTTGGAGAACAACNNCCCCCCCCCCACATTCTAATTCTTCGAACAAACCCCCCCTCCCCTGCAACGGGTGAGGGAGGGGGGTTGTTGTTCGCCAGATCCACGAACAATACTTCCACGCCTCCCTATTGAAGGGGTCTCGACGATAGTTCGCTCTCGAAGTGGTCTGTGCATCTAAGCACGTAGCTTGACAAGGCCAGTGACATCAAGGTAGCTGAGGAGGCTGNNAGGCTGACAAAGATGGCAAGGCAGGCGGCGGCAAGGCCTGGGTCGAGCAAATTGCCGTCAAGCCACCATCGTTGTCATTGAATTGTCCTGAACTTTTCCTAGTGCCACCTGCCCCTACAGTACATGTTTCTGCACGCTTCGTCACCTTCTATTTTTTTTATTATCTTTGGTGTAGTTATTACCATGAATGTCGTTGTTACCCACCTTTGCTTGCACAGTCCTGGACCAGAAGACAAAAACAATAGCGCACCATGAACGACTCACCACTTAATATCATCGGCAATCCTCACTGACAGAGCTGCCAAGAACCCTTGCAGTGAAACAGCTGTGTTTGAGAAGGACAGCGATGACTTCAACGTTCTGGACCTGCTGCCGGGATCCGAGGGATTGGGTTTGCCCTGCCTATACCATATTCAGCTTTTTAAACTTTAGACTATATTGTAGGGATGAGATGCACCTCGCCACAAGCTTCGTGCCAGCTTTTTCCCTGCACGACAAGTCTATGGGAGTAGAACTACCCTCCAGACGGGCCAACATAAAGTGAGCACCGTAGATGCTTCCGGTAATGTTCAAACGAATTAGTGCTGGACAGAGCCGTGGACTGTTCATGAGAACGGTGTTAATACATCAAGCTGTGAAATCGCCAGGCCCCCCCCCCCCC